TGGATAATTTTTAAATATATTTTGTGTTCATCAATAACCTCCATTATAGGTACATGAGGTACTCTTTTTTAAGCACCTGGCTGACCAGAATATTTTCGTTAAATTTAGAAAATTTACTATCTACATTATGTCAAGAAAATACTACATAGTTTTGTTACTTTCATGAACACTTTTAACTCCAAAAGATTGATGTTGATTTTTTTTAAATTGCATGATTATTCAGCATTAACTGAAAAAAGCATGAAAATATTGTTTAATTAGAGCAGGCTTAGAGCTATGCTGGTAAATTATTTCTATTCAATATAGTTGAAAGCTCCAATAAAAAAATAATCTTATTATATCTGGCACGCCGAGGATAAAAGCTCAATCACGGTTCGGCTTTGACCGCCCGTCATTTGCAGCCTTTTGTCACCGGTTTCCTGCTTTTAATACACACATATTTTTTTTTTTCGATGTGAGAAAATATATCAAGGGCAAAAATTTCCATCCGCTCACCAACCAAAACATGCAAACTCGTTAGACCGATCGATGGAATGCAAATTAAATCGCACGCTCCTCTGGGGGCGGACAGGCGTGGGCTTAAAAAAATCCGTGTCTTTTGACCGGCGAGAGACAAAAAACGTGAACCGGAGAGAAAAATGCGCGAGCAAACAGGTTCAGGTGAAATTTAGCAAAAGGAGAATACAATTACAACAAAATCCTTTGATGAAACGAAATTCCTAGACTGGCAAAAAAATATGTTGCTAATTTGTTTCAATTCTCTATATAAAATTCATTCTGATAAAGGTTGTTACAAAATTGTTAATTTTGAATAAAGAAATTCAGACAGAAAATAATTTGCTAACACTTATCACGCACAAAAGATATGAGTTTGGTTTAACATTTTTTATGCCTTCTATAACTTCACTCCATTCATCAGATTTAGTAAATATCCATTTTAATAAACTTTCTATACATTTTTTTCCACAAAATTTTAAATTTTACTGTTTGTTATAATTAGTAATAATTTCATAACGCATGATTGATTTTAATTCAACATTGAAATGGAATTAAATTGCCAATTTTTTTTTTTTAATTTTCTTAGAAGAAACGACTTAACCTGTGACATTTCCACTGAAATTTAACTTTCAGTCCACGGCTTAATTGTTTATTTTTAATTAACGAGTGGGCGCCTTGCAAATTGTGCGTCAAAACGGTCGTGTTTTGCGAAGTTAAGTGGGTGCTGTGACGTAAACAGGGGGCCAAGTTTCTCTCTCCGCGTATGGGAAAATGCAGTGCGCGCCACGCGTGGTGAATTCTACATTAGCATTAGCGATTCAGAAAGGGAATGCTTTATCACAGGCAGTAGTTGGGCGACTCTGGGAAATTGGGCAAGTTGGCCCAACTGATTCGCTCGCTGAATCCAGGCTGCTTTGATTTTCCTCGCTTGAGACTCGAATTTGCACATCCGAGAGGAGGAGGAAAAAGTAATCTTCGTCGGGATGCCATTTGCGTGGAAATGTTTGTGTTTTACCGCATTTTTGCGTCGGCTGAGCTTTTCCATTTCTCTTGTTTTTCCGCTCTATTTTCACCTCTGGTGCTCATTTTTTTTTCCTTTCTTGAGAAAAAGGCCTGCATTGAGGGATTAAAATTTCTGCTCTAATAACTATTTTTATTAACGAAACTCTCAAGAATAATTAGAAAAGTATTTCTGAACATTTTTCCTTCCCTTACATTGAATAAACACGCAGTTGCCTCCACTACTTCCTCCTTTGACGCAAATTACTCAGGGATGTAAGAATGGCTTTTTGTCTGCAATTTAGGTCACACGGCTGTTGACAAGTTTTTGCCCCAGGAAGCGTTAATTCCCGCTCCCATCATCATAATTTCTCTCGCGACTGACATACATAATACAAATTGATTATTCAAATGAGCACAGTCGCGCATCGGATATCGTAGTACAACAATAATTAATCATTATTTCCAAACAAAAAAGGCCAGCAGCGGGTAGAGAATCGAAGACACCTGCCGCTGCTCATTTGTCAAATTTGTGTCATCCACATTCTTAAGCACCAAAGGGTGACTAGGATTACATAAGTGTCAATTCATAAATTTTTCAAACGTCTTTCGCTACAAATCACGCGGAATGTTATTTATAAAATTTAAACACTAATAATATTCCAATATATTATTAAACTTTTATTTTGTGTATTTTTTAAAATAATAGAACTATTTTTTGATCTAATTAATCTTTAATTTATTTAAATATTTTTATTAAACTTCATAGTTTTAATTAAGAATTTGGATGTAGTTTACAATTTTAACTTCATAATAGAAGAAAAATAAATAAATGTGCTCAAAGAAACTAATAATGACTAGAAAGTATGTAAACAATGCAAATAGGATGTTTGGCGGTGTCTTTTGCTAGTTTATGATTGATTAAATTTTATTGAATTATTCTACTTCAAACGATTTATAAATGATGCATGAACTAAATGGATTTTATACACATGTATATATAATCTTCATTTGAAGCGAATTGAATTTATCTGTTATTCAACTTAATATTAATGCAATAGAATTTCAATTAACTCTATGAATAATTTTGTTTTAATGACGATTATTTGATTTCAGCGAGTGCAAATAGAGGTTATGTTCGTACTTGAAACGGAGCTCTGACGAAATTAAAAAATCACGACTGTGCAGCTTTTCTCTCCTTTTATTTCTAGGTTTAGTGTTGTTGCACTTGTTACAAAGCGACTAAGTTTTATTGCGTTTTTATAAACACACCGGCAGCAGCGCAGCTCGTCGCATGTGTATTACAACGGGGCCTACTGTGTTCTTTCCCAGCTTAATACTTTTGTCGCTGGGTGTGTATTGTTCGACGCCGTTTCAGAACTTTTTTATCCTTTCTTTCTTCTTTTTCTGGGAAAAAACGCACCGCGTCATTTTATTTTATATACCTTTCGAGCGAGCATGCATTTTTTTAAATCAAACTTCACAGAAAGCTCCGTCTTTGCAAGCGAATAGACCATGTAAAAGTTTCAAAACGCTGTAGAATATGATTATTTTAACGCACAAAAGAGAAACTTTTTGAAGCACTTATAAAATTTGTATGTTCTCTTTTGAATAAAATCAATAACCGAGACGCATCTTCTCTTCTCTTTTTCAGCTTGGGCGAGATTAATTGGAAAAAGTTCATTTACGCTCTCTCTCTTTTAGGCGAACAAGTGAGCAAAGGGAGCAGAGAGAGTTATGATTAAATAGAGTTTTCAAAGCCGGCGCTTGTCATCAGAGAGAGTAGGTTTTCGTTCGGCCTTATCTCGCTCCCGCATCTCCCCCTGTTTCAACATTACTCCTCCACCGGCGGTGCAGATATGTATGTTTGAGGACTCGGTGGCGAGTGTGACCCTGGGTGCGCAACTTTGTCTGCCGCGTGTTATCTCTCTAGTTTATGCACTTCGGGGGGTGAAAAAAAAACTGCATCCGAGTGCATTAAAGTGTACCATGCATAAAACGAAAAAGGTATATTTTCCCCTTCGGAAAGTTATATGGTGTCGGAGAATCGTACCGAAATCTTCAGTTGATTTCCCTGCGAGAGAGATTCCATCTGGGGTTCGAAGTTTGAAAAATGGAAAAGTATGAATATAAATGTCTGTGGGACTCGCATAGGAAATAATCTCTTCGGGGGAAAATATAAAGGTCTCTTTTTGAAATAAAAGCGTCGATTTTTTTCTTCGCATTTCTATCTCTGCGCCAAACGTCTGGTTTTGTGTATTCTAAATCCTAATTTCAAACTCGATTTAATATTCCGGAAGCAATCGGATTAGGCGTACCCGTCGAGCTCCAGTGTCAAGTAAGTAAGTTTTCTCCAAGGAGCACTATAGGTTGAGTGCATGCCACATTAGACTACGAAAGTGAGATTCTCTTGGCAGCCTTTCACGTACATACAGCCAAGAGAGAGAAAGAGAGACTGAAGCGCAAGGCGAAAAACAAGCACCAGCAATGAAAGATTTTAAGCAAAGTCAAACATTTTGATAAGAGACTTGCTTAAATTCATTTATTTTAATTAACTTCAAGAATTCCTTCTACTCTTGAAGCAATAGAAAAACATTAAAAAAAGAGAACATTTTACAGCAAAATGATATACATACAATCCTAGTTTCCGTAAATATATAATTATTTAGAAAAAATTGCACTTTATTGTAGTTTTGTTCAGAAAAAATATCAATTTAAATAAGCTTATTAAACATGGAATACTGAAAATATATTATTGTTTAAATTGAGTGATTTTAAGTTAATCGACTCTAAATTAAAATAATTACCTCTATTTTTTTATATCTTTTTTGTTCTCCTGAAAAGCACAACTTATACTTTAATTATTTAAATTTTATAAGAATTATTATGGTGGATTAGCCATTTTCATCATGATTCATCTTTTAAACGATTTTTAATATTACTGTTCTGTTACTGTTGTAATGAAACAATTATCATAAATATAAGCATAAACTTGTATTTCCTCTGATGAGGGATGAGGCCAATTTTATATTATGGAAAATTTTCGCTGGAAAAATGTCTCGGGTCAATTACTGAACCATCTTGAGAACCTACAAATTAAATTTCAACCCTCTGTTCTTTGATAAGAGCGGCGTTCATATTCAATAAGATTGATTTTTATTCGCCGCATTGGGGAATCATAAAAATTTGTCCCAACGCTATGCAGAAACGGCGGGTCTCGGGAGCAAAAACACGTCCGCCGCGTCTTGGGCTTAAGTCGAGAAAATAAGGATTCTGATCCTCGAGGGACATCAGCAAGGCAAAGAGAGAAAGAATGACGGCGCTCTCAGAGGAGAAAGAAAAGAACGGCCAAATCGAAAGCCGGCTGGCTTCTTTAAGCCTTTCTGTTCGCACACTCGAGCAAAATCCAATCTTGAATATTTTAGAGCTGACACATTTCGCCCCGAGAGCAAATTTGCCCCCGTTTAGTCGTTCTCTATTCCCATTTGCATTTTTCCACTCACCTTTTCAGTGCGTCGAGTCTGACAAGCGACGGGGCCTCTGGCAGTTCTGCAACAAGAAATCCTGGGATTAATTCTCTCTATGACGATGTTCAGCGTGTGTAATTATCGCTCGGATGAAAAATGGCTCATCGAATTGCAAGAGTCTCGCGTAATCAGCGAGTGCGGTGTAGAATGGCTTCTCTCATATTATATAAAGTAGACGCGCGCGCATTGTTATCTGCCTTAATAATGTATGATTTAATCCTATTTGCAGCGCGCGGCCCGAACGAATTTGCAGCCGGCGACGCACCGCCTCATTTCGCTAATTAAAGGGTTGCCATACTTGAAATTGATCCTCCGCCGACCAGTTGGCGAGTCAATTACCCTCCATAGTAATAATCATTCCGCTTCATCCACAGTCTTGCTGATGTGAAAAATGAAAACTTGACCTTTTATAGGAGTGATTGATCGTTGCTCGAATATAATTTTTGGTCTCTGACTAGCTAAATGCACACATTAGCTAGAAAAATGATAAATTTACAAAAAATTTTCAAAAATAAAAAGATGAATAAAAATTTAATTTTGACATCTATTAAAATCTATTATAAAGCTTCAATTAATTTTTATTTTTTAGAAAATTAAAGAAAATGAGAAATTAAATAGAAATCTCGACTTTCTTTTTAATTTTCCTCAATAATAATTTTTTATTTCTTAAAACAGCAATTAAGCGTTTATTCGCCTAAAAAAAATGTGAAAATAAAAGTTGAATTAAAAGGGAACTAAAAAAATATTACATTACTGTGGTAGAATTACTAGCGTCGATTGAAAAATTATCAAATACATTGAAAATAAAAATCTGGCTGTCAATAAATATGAGGACAAAATTTAATTCATATTATGTTTATTTCTGAATTCAATTAAATTCCATAAAAATTCAATTAGGATGATTAATTCTATGCTTAAATTTAAAACACCTTTTTCATGTTTTGGCCAGGATTAAACAAGCATTCAAATACTGAACGTCAGAAAGGCCTTTGAAAATTCTCGCTTTGAACAGAAGAGAAATATGGAATGCAATGAAAACCTGCATTCAAGCTTGAAAGGGTGACAAAAAATCTAGCCGCGCGCGTTCTAGATGATTGCTTTTGAATCAGCAGCGCCGACCGGGAATAAATGTGCTCGAAAAAAGCGAGTGAGGGAACTTTTGAGTGCCACACGATGTGCGGCCGTGCAGTCCATAAATATAAAAAAGTCCAACTCTTGCGTGTTTTGCAACATGTTTGGCGTCGCGTAAAAACGTAATAAAAGTCGGCGTGTTTCGTGAATGAAGGCCGGCGAAAATTTGGCCGGCCGATAGCGAAACGAGCCAACCGGCGACGCAGAAGGCCCGTTTTCGCACCGTGGAAACGCGCAATGAATGCTGCCGGTGCGAAAAGAGTATCAACTTGCCGTGTGGCTGGAAAACACGCTTAATGCATTAAGCATGCATGCATGTGTGTAGCTCCAAAATTTACGACTGCGTAAAAAATATAACGCAGTGCGTGTGAGTTTCCGCCAGAATCAAGTCTTTTGTAGGCACCGGCAACAGCTCATTCGCCAACTTGTAACTGTGAAAGCAACAAATAATTAAGAAAAAAAATTCTCCCCTCATTTTTAATCTTTATTATTGTTGTTTTGTTTTTCAAAATTGTTTCATCACATTGTTGACATTCAATTGTTGAAAACAATTTATTTGAAAAGAAAGGAATTGCTGGGCAAAATGGCACCACCACTAGCAAGAATTTTGTTAAAACTTCCGACATAATGAAGACCCCATTGGCCGCAGTGAGCTTATTTGGTTGACTTGGTTTTTCTTCTTATCACTTATTTCAGTCGGTTAAAGAAAAATCAAATAACTTATCTGAAGGTAAAATTAAAAGATATTTTTAATCCGAAATTTCCGTGCCTTTAATTTTTTACTGAAAAGCTTCATGATTGTAAAAAAACATAATCATTTTCAAAAACAATGGAAAAATTGATTGGCTTTCTCAAAACAATAATTTTTTGTGCACCTTCAAAAATTTACTTCCCCCAGCCTTTTAGAGCTTTTTTCTTCTTTTTTCCCATTTAAAAGTTCAGATATTCAATTGACAAAACAAAATTCAAGATAATGAATTTTTATTTCTGCAGTTCATAAATTGATTGGAAAATTAGGAAATGGAAAATTAAATGCCAAATGTGGGGCCAAATTCAATGATTAAATTTTATAATAGCTTATTGAAAATTATTAAAAAAAAAAATTTGATATTTAAAAAGCACCCAAATAGAGTGATTATTTTGCACTCGTTTTATTTAATTTGATAAACATATATAAGCAGAGGACTGTTCTTTACCTGCAGTTAGTTTGAATTCATGAAAAAAAAATCTAAAAGGTCCGAAATATCATTTCCAGGTTTTGCTTTTTAGTGCAATCTAAATGTTTTTCGTTGCAATAAAATGTTACAAAAAAATTCGGAGCAAATTGACAGTTCTAGCGAAAGAGCTTGTCATTTTTTCTGGTTCAAGTAATTGCATCTACGAATTTCAGTACGGGGGAGAAAAAAAACTAAAAAACTATCGTGATATCTCCGAAAGGTGCGTGTTGCTTTCATTTATAAATTGTTTGAAATTCCACCTCCGCGTGTGTCGGACTAGCTTTTATTGATGGCGATTGTTTGCTGGTTATGTTCGTCTCTAATGTATACCTACACATAATGTCATTCCCCCTTCGCTTTTAGTTTTCTTTTTTGTGCCCGAATAGCATTAGGCAGCTCGTAAACGAGAGGAGAAAGAACGAGAAGATATAAATAATTCTTTCTCTTTTTACACTAAACGAGCCAGAGGCGTCCGATTTTCTTTCGAATGCTGACAAATTCCCCCGAATGTTTCAGAAATAACTCATTCGGGGAACCGGACTTGAAGCTTCTCTGTCCATGGACCTAAAATAAACACAATTAACATTCCCACGGTCGTAATGAATGAACGACTTTTTTACGATCTCACTGGCCGCTCCATCGATTATCCAAAGTTTTCACCTAAAATTATTTTCGGACCGCCGCTGTGCTTCAAGGGCGGACGAACTTAAACCCTTTGCTCGTCCCATATCGGCTTTTCGCCCAGGAAACCGGCCAAACAAGCAGAGAGAGCAAAACTATTATCTGGCCGAGCAAAGCTGCTTTCTGGGCACTCTCGCTCGCAACTTGGGTTATATTCAGGGTATAAAGGCCTCTACAGTGCGGCAAAACTTGCTCCTCTTCTCTTGCACAGGAAAAATAAAAACAAAAACTTTCACGTGTGCTCATTTATGAGAAGGAAATTCTATTAAACCTGGCTTGAAATTCAATTTTGGCATCCTCCACTCCATAATTGCTGTTAAAAATGTTTTTTTTTCAGGTCTTTTCCTTCCAACTGATGAGACATCAAAGGCGGCTTCTTTGATTACGCCAATTATGATTTGTCAGGTGGAAAAATCTGGTTCCCTTTCACTCGGAAACGAGGAAGCTACACAAATAAAAGCTTTATTAGCTGAATTTTTGTGCGAATCGAGTTGCCTACTCGCGCCCTTTGTAATCAAAGCCGCTGCTGGCGGCTAATTGAAGCTCTCCTGTTCATTAATGCGACGACGTTTTCTGCCAAAGAGCTCTGCTTGTCGTCGAATTCATTAGGGCTTGTGCCGCTCGTTTCTTTTTTTTTAAATAGGCAAATGTACAAACAAAGGGAAAGAAGAAAACTACTGCATTTACATACGAAATTATACGGCAGAAAAAATCAACACAAGAGTATGGAAAAAAGCTGCCGGGGAAAGGGGTTTATCAAAGCAGAACACAGCAGGCTGACGTTTGCACAAGATATTGGGTGGAGAGGGGTGCATATTTTTATACGAAATGATATTTATAAAAACAAAGTTACATCCTCGCGTGGGTTCTCTGATTGCATTAATTTCGGTAAATATTTTGACTAACAAAATAAAAGGGGAAGAAACTTTTGAAAATGTGAGCTAGGGAAAGAAGAAAAAAATTATGCAGAAGCGTCCTATGTTAAATTGGATTTAAAAAATATGAAGTATATTTTTTTTGTAGACTATTTAGCAAATCAATATAAAAAATATATATTATTTAATTTATTTGTTTGCCAAATAAAATCAATAAATTTAGTGGTGCTTTTTACTTTAAATTTATTGAATTTTTTAAAGCAATATTTAAAATATATTTAATAAAAAAAAATTCTGTTTCTGATATATTCAAATTTTTCCGTAATGTTTAAAAAAATTTCTAAAAAGAATAAATGTCACGTTGATAATACTAAAAATTATTAAGGGAGTAATTCCATTATTGCCTGGAAATATCTATGGGGTTTGAAATAAAAACCGACATTGTATTTTTCAACTTTTAAAATGAAACCGAAACCTTTTTGCAATCCTCCCCTTGCCTTACATTAAACGGAACTTACGGAAACCGCTTATTTATCAGAAATAAAATTGAGATAATATTTTTCGTCATTTTTCAGAAAATTATGCATGAGGTATAATTTGTCAGAACAACATGATTCCTTTGTCCGAAAAATTCATCAGAAAGCAATACAGGTGAATAGTAAGCACGTGAAGAATTTATTGAAATCAATTTGCAAATTAAATTTCATCAATACTTTGGAAATTTATAAAAAATATCATAATGATTAATATTATCGATTATTGAAGAGAGGATACATTCTATGACAGACACATAAAATATTTTCATACTATATGTATGGCTTTATTTTAGTAAAAGACTTCACTGAAAGCTAATATAGGGGTCTAATTAGAAAACTACGAATTTTTTAACATTTGGATAGCTATTAAAAATTAGATTTGAGAATTGAAACTTTGTCTCTGTGCTGATCTGCAAACATTGAAGCAAGCTAGCAAGTTTTGCGATTTATAAGCAATTGTTTTTATTCAGCTAGGAAGGTCACGTTTTTATTTAACCATAGAACGTAAAGCAGACGCAAAAATTAATTTCAGCGACGGTGGCATTATGGTAATAGAAAAAAAATCAAGGCCGAGAGTAATTT